TTAGGATACTGGCAAGTGGCTTTCAGTGGAAGGCATAGAGGTGAAGTTAGGAAGGCATGAAAGAAAGAGGACTACTGGGTCGGTCAAAAGCAGCCCAAAGAGTGGGACTCATTGAGTGAACTAGCTGTAATGATACTAGGCTATTCTCCAAGTATAGAATATTTAATTGTATTACTTTAAACACACACAGAAATAATCTGGATTAGTGGTTGCAGTAAAGACAAATAGAAGTTTAATGGAGATAGAAAAGTCAAAGAAAAGAGAAGACAGTATTCTGGACAGGCCACCCATGTAACCCCGAGTCATGCAGAAAAATGGCAGGGCTTGGGGTGATGAGTGTGTGTGTGTGTGTGTGTGTGTGTAAGCCCTGGCACATAAGATGACAAGTTATTACAAAGTCATTGTTTTACTGTGGGTTTATGATACATTTTTAATTATCACACTCCTAACACCATATCTGGCCACTGTTTTATACTAGGCACTGTGCTGAGAGATGGGAGGTTGCAATAAACAAGACAGAGTCCTCACTCTCCCAAGGCATGTGTTCTAGTAGGAGAGACTGACAAAAAGAAAAGAAACAGAAACAAGTAAACAAAGCTGTTACAGTTTGTAATGAGTTTGTAATGAAGGGAACAGATAAGAGATTGCAGCAGAGACTGATGGGCAGAGTAACTTTGGTTAAGATGAAAAAGAAGCCACTTGCAGTTGGTGACATGAGAAGCGGGGAGATGAATGCTCCAGGCAAAGGGGTGCTACAGCAAAATTCTACAGACCGCGTGGTGTACAAACAACAGAAATGTATGTCTCACAGTTCTGGAGGCTGGAAAGTCCAAGGTCAAGGCAGATTCAGGGTGTGGTGAGGGTCCACTTTCTGACTCATAGGTGGCTACATCCTCGTGTGGTGGAAACAGGCAACAAACTTCTTTGTGCCTCTTGCACAAGAGCACTGAAGAAATCCCATTAGGGATCCCATTAAGGATCCCAACAGGGAATAGTTTTGCTATGTCATAGATCACATTTCTGATCAGCTTCATCAAGATATTCTTTCATGCTTCCCAAAGTGATACTATCCATTTTGGATTCTATTTTCATTACTGATAATACCAGAGACTTTGCCTCCCAGTGGCCCCACCCCATCACATTGAGGTTAGCATTTCGGCATATGAATTTTGGGAGGCACACACAGACATTCAGACCGTAACGCTAGTCAGAGCTGACACTGATCTGTTACTTGACTCAAGGTAGTGTGGAGTGAGAGCAGAGGCGACCCTAGGGGGCCCTGTTTGGGTTACATTAATTTTTTTATTGTGAAATAAATTATACATACCCAAGGGCATATAGGATGTATATGAACCATTTAGAAAGTATAATTACAATAATAAAATAAGCACTTAGAATCCTACCAGTCAGCTTAAAATGAGAACATTGCTAGTTCTTCGAAGACTCCTCAGGTGAACCTCTTCAACTGCATTCTTTCTCGGTCCCTAGGGGCTGGTAACCAATCATTCCCTTGGCTTATTTATAGTTTTATTTCACAGATAGCTATCCCCGAATAATATATCACTTTGTTTTGCTTTTTAAACTTTGTATAAAGGGAAATATATTCTTATATGAGTTGTTTTTGTGTTTTGAGATTTAGTCATGTTCTTAGATATAAAACAGTTTATGCTCATCAGTGTATAATGCTCCATGGTATATCACAGTTATTAATGCCTTCTGCCTTTGATGGATGTGCAGTTTTTTTTTCAGGTTATTTGTTTGTTACGAACAATGCTGTTGGAATAATCTTATACCTCCTAGAGCAAGCAATTTCAGATTATACACTTGGGAACTGGATGGCTGCGTCATGGTTTATTTTCCTGTTCAGCTTCACCAGGGTATGCGTTCTTGCTTTCCCAAGTAACTCTATCAATTTTAGGTTACATTTTCATAAGTGATAATACCAGAGACCGTGCACACTGGAGGAAGAGATATTACCTGGTAACTACCTACAGCAGTGGCCAAAGTGCAGGAAATGAGACTCCCAGCCCGTGGCGGTTTAGTCTTGCATTTTCCCCTTTGTTTCCTTTCTTCCTTCCCTAACTCCCATTCTCAGATGGGAAATAGTTCTCATCATATGAATGTGTTCAGAAGGCTTCCAAAAAGCTGAGAATGTCAGAAAACAGGAGATTCTAGTTGGAGGCAGAAATGAAGGAACAATTCCTTTGCACACAATTTTCGAGGTTCTAGAATGGCCATCAAGCAATAGACTGGAGTAGAAGTGTTTTTTGTAGCCATGAATTCTTTGATTTTTGGGGGGTTTTTTTTTTTTTGGTCTTGTTTTTTTTTTGAGATGGAGTCTCACTTCTTGACACAGGCTGGAGTGCAATGGTGCGATCTTAGTTCACTAAAACCTCTGCCTCCTGGGTTCAAGCCATTCTTCTGCCTCAGCCTCCCAAGTAGCTGGGATTATAGGCACTTGTCAGCATGCCTATAATTTTTGTATTTTTAGTAGAGATGAGGTTTCACCATGTTGGCCAGGCTGGCTTCGAACTCCTAACCTCAAGTGATCCTCCTGCCTCAGCCTCTCAAAGTGCTGGGATTATAGGCATGAGCCACTGTGCCCAGCAGCCATGAATTCTTATAGTCACAGTAAGACTGACTATAAGAACTTCATGTTTCCTATTCTCTTGTCCACAGAGGTCATGAAATCTGGATGTAACTCTGCCTGAAATTCTAGTGTCTTGATACACAGGCCAACCTTGCCCCTGAATTTCCTGGCGTAGGCACTTCTTACCTACACACCTTCCTCCCTCTGTCCTCTTTCTCTCTAAAGGGTCAGCCATGAACCATTCACATGAGAAAAAGAGCCTCTTATCCTCATGAAATCCGTGAAAAAAGTAGATATTATTCCGACATTAGAAATGGAAAAACTAAAGCTCAGAGAAGGCAGTAGCTTGCACAAAATTTCATAGCTTCTAAGTAGCAGATTTGACAGTCACAGCCACATCTGTCTAATTTCATCTGTTCTCTTTCTCTCTCTGGCTCTCCCTGGCCCTCTAATGCTTTGTATTGTCATTTATAACCATGTGGTCCTTAATAAGTGACTTACCCTTTCTCATCTTTAGATTGAAATATAACAGTTCACATAGGCTCAGTAGATGTTTATTTGAAAATGAAAATCACTATATGGACTTACGTTCTAGTAGGAGCAATGCTGTGGGCCTGTAAGGGTCTTTCCCTTGACATTATTACTGTTTTTATATTTATCTCCTAAATCTAAGCTCACAGCCTCTGGCTAAGCATGTGAGTTTAGCTTGTTCTACAGCTAATACGTGCCTACTATTGGTAGGTCTTTGCTATAAAGCATGTTCCAGTGTACTGCTGCTTATCTATTATTTTGCTTTCATACTGTTTTGCTGACAGTATGAGAGCATATTTCCTCTCATAATGGTCAGGATTTTTAGTGGGGCTTTCCCGGGATATGCTGTTACCAACTCACAGCATACTGTGGCTCTGATACTTGTCTCAGAGAAACAGTCAGGCTTGGCAGCACAACCAGCCTGCCAATAGCCTGCTCCCCGGGGACGCTGCTATCACTGCCTCCCAGACGCTTTACCTCTCCAGCTGCACCTCAGGCTGCTAACAGGGGAGTCAAAAGCAGAGAGGAGCCATCATTCAAATGTGGGAAAAATAATAAAATCAGTTTCTAGCTTGATGTGGTTTAGTAAGATCTGTTGCCACCAGCTAAGACGCACCTGGAAGGTAAATTATTCAGACCGTTCTCCTACACCACCTTCTTGCTGCCTCCCATGTCATCACCACCTCGCCCATTTTCCTCCTGGTCTCCTGGGCTAGGGAGGGAAGTGCACTGGTGGTCCTCCAATAAACCTCTGAAACATCAGGAAGGTCAAGGCTGTGATCTGAAGAGGTGTTCTCTATTACCAAAAATACATTTTTTTCCCGAAACAGAAAGTTGAAATAAAAGGAGATTTTAAACTCTTCTAATAATTGTCATGCCACGTAAAGAAAAATATTAGGGGCCATTTCCCATTTGCATGTGGTTGCTCTATAATACTGTATCCTCTACTTTAGTAAATAAACTGGGGGGAGAATTTCAAAGAATAGTAATGATTACAGAGGGCAGCAATAGACGAGAGACCAGAGGTTTTACATAGTCTAGAATGGGGGTTCGGGCGCTTTTTCCGTAAAGGACCAGAGAGCAATATTTGGGTTTCTGGGTCCTTCCATCTCTGTTGAATATTACTATTTGTTTTGTTTTGAGAATATAAAAAACATTTTCAGCTCGGGGTCCATAGGAAAATGCATTACAGGCTGAATTTTGCTTGTAGTTTGCCAAGGCAAACTCTAGAAGCTCATTCTCAATTTTGCTACCACAAAATACCATTTTAAAAAAAGAGAGATGTAATATGGTTAGTTTTGAGAGGAAGCAATGAGCAGAAATATTAGGACCAAGCATGAATAATTAGGTAAGAATTTCTAGAAGACAAAATGAAAGGGAGGACAGATTGGGAGGGAATAATTGAAAGGAGTTAGGGGTGTGAGAAAGAGATATGGGATGAGGATGGAACAGAGTGTCTTGAGCAAAATAGAGATTCTGGGAAAATGGAGTAAATGGGGTAGATTTTCTCCTACGCGTAGTTAGTGGCAAACATACATCAGCCCTGCTGTGTAATCGAGTGAATTTGCGTAGGTATTTGAGAAGAAATCTACTCTTACCTTGTTTGCAACTACAGCCTTCTTTTGACTATATGTGTGGCAGGTCTTTACTTGCTTTCCTGTGACCTTTCGACACTGGTTTACCACTTGTTCAGTTAGCTTTTGTGATTTAAAAAGAATGGAAAGCATGAAGCACCCGCTTGTTGCAGGCTGGCAAGGATGGGTGCATGGGTGGGAAGAATAGACAGCGATAAATCTGGGCGGGTTTCTATGGACTGTGAAGCAAATGCATTCATATCAGCCATGTAACTTTTGCCAAACTATGAATCGTTTTTTCCCAGATAACTGGCCATCAGAAAACATTTAAAGATGAAGAAAGAAGAAAATCTGAACACAGACTGAGAAAACAAGGAAATGAATCTCAAACATAAGGTTGGAAAACAGAACAATAGGGTACTTTTAGCTTGAAGTAATTTAAAAGACAGACTTCTAAATGCCTTAGAAATATTGCATATTACAAGAAAGGACCAGTGTCCCTCGGAATTGTGACCAGGCACTGAATTATGAGTCAAGGTCTCTTGGCTTCAGTCGTTAGCCTACTCCTTACACGTCTTGTGACTTTAGGAAAGTATTTTAGCTTACTCAAGTCTCAGTTTTCTCATGCAGAAAGTATTTTTTTTTCATAATGGTGTTTTTACTTGGATGTAGAAATTAAAGGGCTTCTAAGCTATAAATAATTATGATAATGGCAGAGATTTTATTAGTCTTAGTATTTCATTTGTGGGTTGATTTTACTCCTGCATAATAGGAAGCTACCTGTGTACAGTGACTTGAGGGGTTTCCAAAGGATTCTCTACTTGTCAAATTTCTCCTTAATTAGATTATGATGAAATGACTAAATCATTTTCAAGAAGACCAAAGTTTTTATAGCCTTCGGTTAATTGATTTAGGAACATTAAGATGCAAATGTTATCAAAAACAGGGCTCAACTCAACTGTGGGAATGTAAGCTCTTGACTAACTGGTCATCTAGCAATGCCTGGAGAGAATGGGTCAGAATTGCCACTAAATAGGGCGGCCCAAGGAACTTGGGGTCACCATGAAAAATCTAAATGCCTATCAAGAGAACACCTGAGAGGAGCAAGGCATAAAGAAGAGAGGAGATGCCTTCTGCAGGTGACTTCACAATTTTGACTCGGGCTGATTGGTTCAGCCGAGAACCAAGGTTTCTGAGAGATGGCAGCCTTTGACCCTTGTTCCTTTCTATTCCTTCTTAGTGCCATTTTTTTTTTTCTGCACAAATGGCTCTCAGGACTGTGGCCCTAGTAATCTCCAGGGGCGATTGTGGTCCGGACAGCTAACTTTACACCAGCAAGTCATGCTTTCCATCCAGGGGCCACTTCTTTCAGACTCCCTTGCTTCTAGTTGGAAATGGAAGCCAATGACATGGGCATGGCTGTGACACATCTTTTATAGGCTGGGATGGTTCAAAAGCAGATGCTCTTTTTCCGCTCTCTCTTTCTTGTCAGCTTACTGGATATTTGATGCCCGTGGCGATGTTGGCAAACAGATCTTGAAGATAGACGGCCAGACAAATGGATGGAAACCATGCCTGAGTCACTGCTTGGAAGAGAGCCACCAAACCAAGAGTGCTTACATTCGACTGGAATGTGAGCAAAACATTCTTTTGTGTGTGTGTGTGTGTGTGTGTGTGTGTTCAGCCGTTGGGAATTTTGGCTGATATAGCAACTAGTGTCACTGAGATTAATACAGCCACTGTTACTAGTAAACTTTCTCCTGAGATGACTCTGTGGTCTGCAGATTGAGATCTGCTGGCCTTTTTTCTTGATCTGTATGCTTTTCTCTTTACCTCTCTCCCCAGATTCTTTCTGCTTTCCCTGCAATCATGTCTTCAGATGAATAATGAAATCAACAAAGAGCAAGGGAACAGAGGAGTAATGATTATTTCATTAATTGATTTTATTTTTCTGCTTAATTTGACAGCATGGGAGCAGCCAAGGAGCTGGGTGGAAAGCAAGGACAGGTGCTTGTGGGCTTAAACTCCTGAGCTGGAAGTGGAAAAGGTATAAACAGTAAAGACTTTACGTTTCAGTGACATGATTTTAAATCGAGAGCCAAGACAAAGGGTGCTTTCTCACCACTTTGCATCTATAGGATCAGTTTCTTGTTTATTTCCGACTTTCTAGTTGGCAGAGTACCCTTGAAATGTCAGCTTTGTCAGTGGAGCACGCTGAGTCATTACTAGGTCTACAACATCGGCACAGGATGCTCAGGGAGTTGCTTCTACCTAAAACCAAGCTGTGTGCTGGGAGCCTAGGTATAGATACCTGTATAGGAGAGAAAACTGAAAGCACAGGTGTTGAAGAAGGTCAAAATTACACACACACAATAAGAAAACCAAGAACCAAAAACTTAGAAAACACAACAACAAAAAAAGCATGCTACAAAAACACATCAAACTCGTCTCTGAGATCTTATAATTTTCCATTTATATAAATTGTCTTCACAGGTACACTCACGACATGATCAAGTAGTGATTGTACCTAAAACAATTGTCATACAGTGTTATTTGAGCAGTAGTATTGGGTAATGGTTTCTAAATGAAGATTACTCCACAGTTACCTAGGGATTAAGTGGCTTAACTGGAATTGAAACATGGTTTTTCAGGGCTCCCTCAATGGTTTCCATCACCAGTTTATATAGGCAATAGAGAATTCATTTGTCTTGAATAATTCTTTAGCTTTCCACAGCCAAATATCTTGCTCCTGGGGAAAGAGCTTGCTCTGATGTGTTGGATTTTGGCTGAGAATCTCTGGGTTTGAATCTTGGCTCTGCCACTTACAATCTTTAGGAGAACGGGTGAGTCACAACATTTCTCTTTGCCTCAGTTTCTTTATTAGTAAAATAAGAACAATCATAGGGCTTACCGCATAGATTTCTCAAAGGAATTAGATGACCTAATAGATGTAAATTATTGGAACAGAAACTGCTAAATCCAAATTAGTTGTTGCTAGTGTTGTTTTTCTGTTGTGGGGTAAATGCATTTCCGTTGGAGCTTCGGTTTGACTGCAACTCAGTTGTACATGCCTTATGACTCAAGTTCCTTCAGCCTTCTCTACAATGTATTTACAGCACTGGATGTCCATAACCAGCCTTTCTTTCCGACAGTCATAGCTGGGCTCTAGCCTTTTCTGTGGAGCTGTACTTCTTTCTCCTTCTCCCTTTCTCCATTGATTCTTATCTTCCCTGCAATTGGGTGCTTTCCCCTTAATGGCAGTTTTGCACGTGCTAATCCAATCTTTTAGCTTTGGTTCAAGGGTTATAATGATGAAGGATTTTCATCAATTGGAATAAGAATACTTAATGCTTAACATTTTTCAGAGCCAGCTCTGTGGCAGAGAGGACAGTTTAGGAGAAAAAGACAGAACAATAGCTGTGATAATGACACAGGCAATCACAGAAGGGCAAGAGAACAAGCTGTCCTAGGATGCTTGTGTAAGAAAAATTGCACATGTTGTCTTCCTAATCAAAAGCTATAAAAAATTGACTGAATTGCATACTAATAGATACATGACTGTACAAGAAAAGGAATTAAGTGTCTTTTGCACACAGGACCTTTAAGTATACATCTTTTGGAGGCACAATTTTTCAGAACAAAAGTACTCAAGGAAATCTTAAACTTAACCCGTAGTTGTATTGTTGCGATTGTAATTTTGAAATTATTTTATGTACATTCTAGAATAAAGCAAATAAGAGGTTAGTAACATCAGAATGCAACATTTTCAATGTATGAGAAAAGAGGAACAAATATATAAACAAAGGAATTAGGAGGGGGATAACTATAAAATCAAATCTAAGTTGTAAATATTAGTATGAACATAAGATTCTATATAACATGCTGTGCATAATCTATATTATTGCACGTAATATATATCATGTATTACGTGCAATATAATTAATCTATATAATGTAACTAATTTATCTACATATAATCTATAAGTGTCTCTGTATGTGTGAGAGTGTGTGTGGAGAAAGAGAGGGATAAGGAAACAGTGGCACACACACACGCACGTGCGCACACATACACACACACACACAAAGGGTAGGGGAGAGAATGAAAATACATGCTTTATCCAGTCTGTCCAGTGAAAGAACTTAGAAACCATTATGATCCAATAGTATTGAGCACACCTGACACTAAGGTATTTATTGCTTTCTAAAATAGCATTCTCTCTAAAAAGAACTAGGGCTCCTTATAGGAATGGCTGATTCTAGGTTTGAGACGGAATATTTACAGTGATTGTAAGATCTCTTATTGTATCAGGGAGTTTCTAGAGAACAATTAGGGTCTTGACAAAAGGATGCAGCTTGAAGGGGTTGTCACTGACTGAGTTTGGGACAATACAAGCATCAAAAAAATAATGTTTTTGATTGAACATATTAATAAAAATGTCCAAGACCAAAATGACATTCAAAAGAAAAGATAAAATATGAGATTATTTGCCACAATAGAAGTTATTAGTATGCAAACTTCTTACTCTGAAAATTAGTAATTAAAAGGAAATAATTAAGCTGTACCCTGTTTGTATTAGTCAGGACAGGTAGGTTATGCTGCAGTAACAAACAACCTCAAAATCTCAGCAGCTTGAAATGAAAGAGTTTATTTTCCACTTTCACTGCATGTCTCTCCTGGAGTTACAAGTGTTCTGATTCATGTCATCCTCACTGAGGGAGGCAGTTCGTGCTTTCACTCCTTGGTGCTTATACCAACCAGTAAAAGAGGAGCAGATCCCCAGGAGCCATTGCTTCTTTATTCGGAGTTCTGGTGGCAGAGAGATGTAATGCCAAACTAGGGACTGGAACAAAGCACACCAGAGCCACAGCTGGGCCTCAGCCAAATCACAGACCTGTGAGCAAGAAATCTGTGCATACGCAAATAAGATACCAGATTGTTTGTTACTGATGCAAAAATTGATTAATACACTCCCTATGTATGCAGAAGGAAAAAAAAACCCACACACCAGAATATTGGTAAATAGCCCACATGACTATTATATTTGTAGATTCTGGATATTAGCCCTTTGTCAGATGGATAGCTTTTTTCTTTCTTTCTTTATTATACTTTAAGTTCTGGGGTATGTGTGCAGATCTTGCAGGGTTGTTACATAGGTATGCACATGCCATGGTGGTTTGCTGCCTCCATTTCCCCTATTACCTACATTAGGTATTTCTCCTAATGTTATCCTTTCCCAACCGCCTCACTCCCGGCTATTGCTCCCTTAGCCCCTAACCCCTCCCCAACAGATCTCAGTATATGATGTTCCTCTCCCTGTGTCCATGTGTTCTCATTGTTCAACATCCACTTATGAGTGAGAACATGCAGTGTTTGGTTTTCTATTCTTGTGTCAGTTTGCTGAGAATGATGGTTTCAGATTTATCCATGTCCCTGCAAAAGACATGAACTCATCCTTTTTTAATGGCTGCATAGTCTTCCATGGTGTACATGTGTCACATTTTCTTTATCCAGTCTATTATTGATGGCATTTGGGTTGTTCCAGGTCTTTGCTATTATGAATAGTGCTGCAGTGAACATACGTCTGCACACGTCTTTATAATAGAACGATTTATAATCCTTTGGGTATATACTCAGTAATGAGATTGCTGGGTCAAATGGTATTTCTATTTCTAGATCCTTGAGGAATTGCCACACTGTCTTCTACAATGGTTGCATTAATTTACACTCCCATCAACAGTGTATAAGTGTTCCTTTTTCTCCATAGCCTTCCAGCATCTGTTGTCTCCAGATTTTTTAATGATCACCATTCTAACTGCCATGAGATGGTATCTCAATGTGGTTTTGATTTGCATTTCTCTAATGACCAGTGATGAGCATTTTTTCATATGTTTGTTGGTCACATAAATGTCTTCTTTTGAAAAGTAGCTGTTCACATCCTTTACCCACTTTTTGATGGGGTTGTTTTTTTGTTTCTTTTGTAAATTTGTTTTAGTTCTTTGTAGATTCTGGATATTAGCCCTTTGTCAGATGGATAGCTTGCAAAAATTTTTTCCCATACTGTTGGTTGCTGGTTCACTCTAATGACTGTTTCTTTTGCTGTGCAGAATCTCTTAAGTTTGATTAGATCCCATTTGTCTATTTTGGCTTTTGTTGCCATTGCTTTTGGTGTTTTAGTCATGAAGTCCTTGCTTATGCTTATGTCCTGAATGATATTGCTGATGTTTTCTTCTAGGGTTTTTATGGTGTTAGGTCTTATGTTTGAGTCTTTAATCCATCTGGAGTTAATTTTTGTATGCAAAAATCTTCAACAAAACACTGGCAAACCGAATGCAACAGCACATCAAAAAATTTATCCATCACTATCAAGTAGGCTTCATATTAGGGATGCAAGCCTGGCAAATCTATAAATGTAATCAATTACATAAACAGAACCAAAGAGAAAAACTGCATGATTATCTCTATAGATGTAGAGAAGGCCTTTGACAAAATTCAAGAGCCCTTTATGCTAAAAACTCTCAATAAACTAGGTATTGATGGAACATATCTCAAAATTATAAAAGCTGTCTATGACAAGCCCACAGCCAATATCATACTGAATTGGCAAAAACTGGAAGCATTCCCTTTGAAAACTGGCACTAGATAAGGGTGTTCTCTCTCACCACTCCTATTCAACATAGTATTGGAAGTTCTAGCCAGAGCAATCAGGCAAGAAAAAGAAATAGAGTATTCAATTAGGAAAAGAGGAAGTCAAATTGTCTCTATTTGCAGATGACAGGATTGTATATTTAGAAGACTCCATCGTCTTAGCCCAAAATCTCCTTAAGATGATATTATATTGCTTTTTAAAGGACGAGCTCTGTGAGTGGTGCAGAAGATTCCCAGCTAATAAGTGTAGAAGGAATGATACCAGTAGAAGTCACCATTTTGATATCCTGAAATAATTGGTTCAGGAAAGAATTATCAATGAATTTTGGAGCCATTAGGTAAAAGCTTTTTAGGAAATAGAATATTTGGATGAAGCCTAAGTACCACCCTACAAATATTTGCCTTATATAATGGGTGAAGCGCCCTTTAAAATGAAACTGTCATCATGAAACTATGCCTCACTGATAGTGGACAGCTTGGCATTGTGTGCCTCCTGAGGTAATTGAAGTAACAGGACTGCCTTTGAAGCACCCTTACCGCAAATTTCATCTGTGTGTCATCAAGATGTTTGTTCAGATTCCCATTACATAAGGAGTACAGGAGACACAGGTTTGTGTTAAACAGTGCTATGAGATACAACAATTCAGGAATGTGGAAATTTTATAAAACTGTTGTTTGAGACTCTTTAACATGCCAGTGTCATGGGGATAAAAAAGCACAGTCTGTGCTTTGTTTTATTCTGGTTTAAAATTAGCAAAAGATATAAAACATCTAAATGTAGTGCATAATCGTTGATTGGATTCTAGTTTGAAAATGCTAACCACAAATGAATTTGTGGCTCAGTTTGGGAAATTTGAATATGGCCTGGATGGAGGATATCGGGGTATATTTGATAATGTTTCTGGGTATGATAAAGGTATTGAGGATATAAGATTTTTGTTAGCTTAGGAAACGTATGCTGATGTTGTTATTGGCTAAATGTCATGGTATTTTACCCAGTTTCAAATGCCGCATCAGTAAATTTATATTGGGACACAAACATACATGCAGTTTTGCAGGTAAGGCAAAATGTTAACATTTATTGCATCTAAGTGATGGGTATATCAGTTATCTTATTCTGTCCAATTTAAATTTGAATTTATTTGTCATAAAGCTAGAAACGAAACAAAGCAAGACACTGCACGGAAAGTTTGTGTGTGTGTGTGTGTGTGAAGTTCAAAACTGTGGTTAAAATGTCATCCGGACCCAGAAGTCTAGTAAGGTAAGCATGGCCTCCCCGTTTTCTTTATCTTTGGTATTCTTAACCATTTTATTTTAAAGGTTCTGAGCCTAAATGCTTGCTCTTGAATGTCTGTATCTTTCATAATTTTCCTCAAACAAAGAATAATTTACTAATTTAGGAGAAAGAGTTGATAATTACACTTTACTTGACTCAGGACCTCCTGAAGAAACCATATCTTACTAGATGTCCTGGTGCTTTTCTGTTGTTGTTTTTTTTTAATTGCATTTTAGGTTTGGGGGTACATGTGAAGAACTGCAAGATTGTTGCATAGGTACACACATGGCAGTGTGATTCGCTGCCTTCCTCCCTATCACCTGTATCTGGCATTTCTCCCACGCTCTCTTTCCCCAACTCCCCACCACCCACTGTCCGTCCCCTATTTCCCCCCGATAGACCATAGTGTGTGGTGCTCTCCTCCCTGTGTCCACAGGTTCTCATTGTTCAATACCCACCTATGAGTGATATCATGCAGTGTTTGATTTTCTGTTCTTGTGTCAGTTTGCTGAGAATGATGGTTTCCAGGTTCATCCATGTCCCTACAAAGAACACGAACTCATCATTTTTGATGGCTGTATAATATTCCATGGTAAATATGTGCCACATTGTCCCTGTCCAGTCTATCATCGATGGGCATTTGGGTTGGTTCCAAGTCTTTGCTATTGAAAACAATGCTGCAATAAACATTTGTGTGCATGTGTCCTTATAGTAGAATGATTTATAATCCTTTGGATATATACCCAGTAATGGGATTGCTGGGTCAAATGGAATTTCTATTTCCTGGTTATTGAGGAATCGCCACACTGTCTTCCACAACGGTTGAATTAACTTACACTCCCATCACCAGTGTAAACGTGTTCCTGTTTCTCCATATCCTCTCCAGCATCTGTTGTCTCCAGAGTTTTTAATGATTGCCATTCTAACTGGGGTGAGATGGTATCTCAATGTAGTTTTGATTTGCATTTCTCTAATGACCAGTGATGATGCGCATTTTTTCATATGTTTGTTGTCCTCATGTATGTATTCTTTGTAAGTGTCTGTTCATATTCTTTGCCCACTTTTGAATGGGCTCGTTTTTTTCTTGTAAATCTGTTTTAGTCCTTTGTAGTTTCTGGAAATCAGCCCTTTGTCAGATGGGTAAACTGCAAAAACTTTTTCCCATGCTATTGGTTGCCGATTCACTCTAATGACTGTTTCTTTTGCTGTGCAGAAAGTGTGGAGTTTGATTAGGTCCCATTTGTCTATTTTGGCTTTTGTTGCCAATGCTTTTGGTGTTTTGGTCATGAAGTCCTACCCTACACCTATGTCCTGAATGGTTTTGCCTAGGTTTTCTTTGAGGGTTTTTATGGTGATAGGTCTTCTGTTTAAGTCTTTAATCCATCTGGAGTTAATTTTAGTGTAAGGTGTGAGGAAGGGGTTCAGTTTCTGCTTTTTGCACATGACTAGCCAGCTTTCCCAACACCATTTATTAAACAGGGACTCCTTTCCCCATTGCTTGTTTTTGTCAGGTTTGTCAAAGATCGGATGGTTCTAGATGTGTGGTGTTACCTCTGGGGCCTCTGTTCTGTTCCATTGGTCTATATCTCTGTTTTGGTACCAGTACCATGCTGTTTTGATTACTGTAGCCTTGTAGTATAGTTTGAAGTCTGGTAGTGGGATGCCTCTGGCTTTGTTTTTTTTTGTTTGTTTTTTTTTTTGCTTGGAATTGACTTTGCTATGCAGGCTCTCTTTTAGTTCCATATGAAGTTTAAGGTGTTTTTTTTCCAGTTCTGTGAAGGTTATTGGTAGCTTGATGGGGATAGTGTTGAATCTGTAAATTACTTTGGATGGTATAGCCTTTTTCACAGTATTGATTCTTCCTAACCATGAACATGGAATGTTTATCCATCTGTTTGTGTCCTGTCTTATTTTGTTGAGCAGTGGTTTGTAGTTCTCCTTGAAGAGGTCCTTTTTATCCTTTGTTAGTTGTATTCCTAGGTGTTTTATTCTCTTTGTAGCAATTGTGAATGGCACTTCGTTCTTGATTTGGCTCTCTTTAAGTCTGTTACTGGTGTATAGGAATGCTTGTGATTTTTGCACATTGATTTTGTATCCTGAGACTTTGCTGAAGTTTCTTATCAGTTTCAGGAGATTTTGGGCTGAGACGATGGGATCTTCCAGATATACAATCATATAGTCTGCAAATAGAGACAATTTGGCTTTCTCCTTTCCTATTTGAATACTCTTTATTTCTTTATCTTGCCTGATTGCTCTGGCTAGAACTTCCAATACTATATTGAATAGGAGTGGTGAGAGAGGGCATTCTTGTCTAGTGCCAGATTTCAAAGGGAATGCTTCCAATTTTTGCCCATTCCGTATGATATTGGCTGTTTGTCATAAATAGCTGTTATTATTGTGAGATACATTCCATCAATACCTAGTTTATTGAGGGTTTTTAGCATAAAGAGCTGCTGAATTTTGTCAAAGGCCTTCTCTGCATCAATTAAGATAATCATGTGGTTTTTGTCTTTGGTTCTGTTTATGTGGTGAATTACATTTATAGACTTGTGTATGCTGAACCAGCCTTGCATTCCTGGGATAAAGCCTACTTGATCATGATGGATAAGCTTTATGATGTGCTGTTGCCATCAGTTTTCCAGTATTTTATTGAAGATTTTTGCATCTATGTTCATCATGGATATTGGTCTGAAGTTTTCTTTTCTTGCGAGTATCTGCCAGGTTTTGGTATCAGGATGATGTTGGTCTCATAAAACGATTTGGGAAAGATTCCCTTTTTTTGGATTGTTTGTAATAATTTCAGAAGGAATGGTACCAGCTCCTTTTTGTATGTCTGGCAGAATTTGGCTGTGAACCCATCTGGACCTGGGATTTTTCTGGGTGGTAGGCTCTTAATTGCTGCCTCAACTTCAGACCTTGTTATTGGTCTATTGGGGTTTCAACTTCTTCCTGGTTTAGGCTTCAGAGGATGCAAGTATCCAGGAAGTTATCAATTTCTTCCAGGTTTACTAGTTTATGTGCATAGAGTTGTTTGTAATAATCTCTGATGATGGTTTGAATTTCTGTGGAATCTGTGGTGATTTCCCCTTGATCATTTTTTATTGAATCTATTTAGTTATTCTCTCTTTTCTTTTTTATTAATCTGGCTAGCAGTCTAATTTGCTGATCTTTTCAAAAAACCAGCTCCTGGATTTATTGATTTTGTAAAGGGATTTTTGTGTCTCTGTCTCCTTCAGTTCTGCTCTGATCTTAGTTATTTCTTCTCTTCTGCTAGGTTTTGGGTTTTTTTAATCTTGCTCCTCTAGCTCTTTGAATTTTGATGATAGGGTGTCAATTTTAGATCCCTCCTTGCTTCTTATATGGTTATTTATTGCTATATATTTTTCGCTATACCCTGCTTTATATGTTTCCCAGAGATTCTGGTATGTTTTGTATTCGTTCTCGTTGGTTTCGAAGAACATCTTTATTTCTGCCTTCATTTCGTTGTTTATCTAGTCAACATTCAAGAGCCAGTTGTTCAGTTTCCATGAAGCTGTGTGGTTCTGAGTTAGTTTCTGAATTCTGAGTTCTAACTTTATTGCACTGTGGTTTGAGAGACTGTTACAATTTCCGTTCTTTTCCATTTGCTGAGGAGTGATTTACTTCCAATTATGTGGTCAATTTTAGAGTAGGTGCAATGTGGTGCTGAGAAGAATGTATATTCTCTGGATTAGGGGTGGACAGTTCTGTAAATGTGTATTAGGTTTGCTTGTTCCAGGTCTGAGTTCAAGTCCTGGATATACTTGTTAATTTTCTATCTCATTGATCTGTCTAATATTGACAATGGGGTGTTAGACTCCCACACGATAATAGTGGGAGACTTTAAGTCTCTTTGTAAGTCATTAAGAACTTGGCTTATGTATCTGGGTGCTTCTGTATTTGGTGCCTATATATTTAGGATCATTAGCTCTTCTTGTTACATCGATTCTTTTACCATTATGTAATGTCCTTCTTTGTCTCTTTTGATCTTTGTTTGTTTAAAGTCTATTTTATCACAGATGAGAATTGCAACGTTTGCTTTTTTTTTTTTTTTTTTTTTTTTTGGTGCTCCAGTTGCCTAGTAAATCTTTCTCCATTCCTTTATTTTGAGCCTTTATGTATCCTTGCATGTGAGATGGGTTTCCTGGATACAGCACACCGATGGGTTTTGGCTTTTTATCCAATTTGCCAGTCTGTGTCTTTTGATTGGGGCATGTAGCCCATTTACATTTGGGGTTAATATTGTTATGTGTGAATTTGATCCTGCCATTTTGATGCTAGCTGGCTGTTTTGCCCGTTAGTTGATGCAGATTCTTCATTGTATTGATCCTCTTTACCATTTGGTATGTTTTTGGAGTGGCTGGTACTGGTTGTTCCTTTCGGTGTTTAGTGCCTCTTTCAGGAGTTCTTGTAAAGCAGGCCTGGTGGTGATGAAATCTCTGAGTACTTACTTGTTTGTAAAGGATTTTATTTTTCCTTCACTTATAAAGTTTAGTTTGGCTGGATATGAAATTCTGGGTTGAAAGTTCTTTTCGTCAAGGATGTTGAATATTGGCCCCCACTCTCTTCTGGCTTGTAGGCTTTCTGCTGAGAGATCTTCTGTGAGTCTGATGGGCTTCCCTTTGTGTGTAATCTGGCCTTTCTCTCTGGCTGCCCTTAGCATTTTCTCCTTCATTTCAACCCTGGTGAATCTGAGGATTATGTGTCTTGGGGTTGCTCTTCTTGAGGAATATCTTTGTGGTGTTCTCTGTATTTCCTGGACATGAATATTGGCCTGCCTTGCTAGGTTGGGGACGTTTTCTTGGATAATATCCTGAAGAGTATTTTCCAGCTTGGATTCATTCTCTCTGTCACATTCAGGTGCACCTATGAAACGTAGATTAGGTCTCTTCACATAGTCCCACATTTCTTGGAGACTTTGTTCATTCCTTTTTACACTTTTTTCTCTAATCTTGCCTTCTCGTTTTATTTCATTGAGTTGATCTTCGACCTCTGATATCCTTTCTTCTGCTTGGTCAATTTGGCTGTTGAAACTTGTGTATGCTTTGTGAAGTTCTCATGTTGTGTTTTTCAGCTCTATCAATTCACTTATATTCCTCTCTAAGTTGTTTATTCTCATTAGCATTTTGTCAAATCTTTTTTCAAAGTTCTTAGTTTCTTTGCATTGGCTTAGAACATGTTCTTTTGGCTCAGAGAAGTTTCTTATTACCCACTTTCTGAAGGTTGATTCTGTCAATTCATCACACTCACTCTCCATCTAGCCTTGTTTCCTTGCTGTTGACAAGTTGTGACCCCTTGGAGGAGGAGAGGCATTCTGGTTTCAGGTGTTTTCATCCTTTTTGCGATGGTTTCTTCCCATCTTTGTGGATTTATCCACCTGTCGTCTTTGTGGTTGTTGACTTTCAGATTGCGTCTCTGAGTGGATGTCCAGTTTTTTGATAATGAAGTTATTTCTTTCTGTTTTTTAGTTTTCCTTCTAACAGGCCCCTCTGCTGTAGGACTGCTGATGTCCACTCCAGACCCTGCTTGCCTGGCGATCACCTGCAGCAGCTGCAGAATGGTAAGGGTTGCTGTCAGTTTCTTCTGCTGCTATCTTTGTCCCAGAAGGATACCTGCCAGATGTCAGTCTGAGCTCTCCTTTATGAGGTGACTCTTTGGATATACAGGGTCAGGGAGCTGTTTGAGGAGACAGTCTGTCCGTTATAGGAGCTCAAGTACTGAGCTGTGAGCTCTGTTGTTCATTCAGAGCTGCTGGGCAGGTACGTTTAAGTCTGCTGCAGCAGAACTCATATCATAAACCCTCCCCACTTTGCTTTTTTCCCCTAGATGCTCTGTCCCAGGGAGTTAGGGCTTTATTTATGAGTTTCTGTTGTGTTGCTTCCTTTTTTTTTAGGGTTGTCCTGCTCAGCGAGGAGGTGGCCTAGTCACTGTCAGCCTGCAGAGGCTTTGCTGAGCTGCTGTGGGCTCCACCCAGATGCCATGTGAACTTCCCTGCAGTCTTGTTTGTATGGGTATAGTTAGAACTGCCTTGGCAATGGTGGCCCACCTCTATAATGGCGGTCTCTCTCTGTTATGGTGGGCTGCCTCAGCAATGGCAAACTACCTCCCTAGTGGTGGACTGCCTCAGTAATGGCAGATACCCCTCCCCCACAGAGCTGGACTGTTCCAGGTTCTGCAGTGCTTGCTGTGAAATGCTCAATAGAGAGCATTTCCGATTGCTGTTTTTTTGTGGGGGTGGAACCAGCTGAGCCTGATCACCTGGCTCCCTGCCTCAGAGCCTTTTTTTCTTTCTTTCTTTAGTTGAATGGTCGATTCGGTCTCCCAGGTGTTCCAGTTGTCTGTTGAAAAGGCGCGGGGGTGGGTGGGAGAAGGATCCAAGATGGCGGTTTAAGAGCAACCCAGGATTGCAGCTCCCATAGAAAACACAGAGGGTGAGTGGATGCTGCATTTCCAGACGGATATTTATTGCCCACAGACCAGGAGATTCCCAGGCAGAGGAGCCCCAGTGGTCGCCAGCACGGCTATTTTGCTGGTGTCCCAGCACGGCGGTTCTCCATACAAAATACACTGGTCTGATTGCCCTTTTACGCTGGCAATTGGAGCTCCAGGAAGGTAGAGTCATCCACTCATCTGATTAAACAGGGGACAGAAACAGGGGGCCAGGCCAGGAGATTCCAAGGCAGCGCTGTTGTTTCAACCAGCACAGTGGGTCACAGCATGGGAAACCACATAGATCCTGGCACCTTTTCAACAGGTGACTGGAACACCTGGGAGAAAGTCAACCATTCAACCTTAGGAAAAAAAGGCTCTGAGGCAGGGAGCCAGGTAAGCAGGCTTGGCAGGTCCCATATCCCCCCCCCAGCCCCCCACAAAAAAAGCAATTGGAAACGCCCAGGGTTGAGAGTTACATGGCAAGCACATCTGAACACGGAACGTCCAGCTCTGTGGGGGAGGGGCGTCTGCCATTACCAAGCCACTCCATTCTTACAGAGTTAGTCTGCCATTGCTGAGGCAGCCCGTTATTGCCAAGGCAACCTGCCACTACAGAGAGAGTCTGCCATTACAGAGGTGGGCCACCATTGCTGAGGCAGTTCTAACCACACCCATATAAACAGGACTGCAGGGAAGTTCACATGGCAGTAGGGCAGAGCCCACAGCATCTCACCAAAACCTCTGCAGGCAGGCAGTGACTAGGCTGCCTCCTTGCTGGGCAGGGCAGCCCTGGAAAAAAAAAAAGGTGGCAGCACAATGGAAACTCATAAATAAAGCCCTAACTCCCCGGTACAGAGCACCTGGGCAAACAAAGGGGGTTGATGAGTTCTGCTGAAGCAGACTTAAACGTACCTGCCCAGCTCACAACAGAGCTCACAGCTCAGCACTTGAGCTCCTATAAAGGACAGACTGTCTCCTTAAGCAGCTCCCTAACCCCCATATATCCAAAGAGTCACCTCATGAAGGACTGATCACACTGACATTTGGCAGGCATAATTCTGGGACAAAGCAGAAGAAGAAACTGATAGCAACCCTTACTGTTCTGCAGCTGCTGTAGGTGATCCCCAGGCAAGCAGGGCTTGGAGTGGACCTCAGCAGTCCTACAGCATAGGGGTCAGACTGTTAGAAGGAAAAATAAGAAACAGAAATACCTTCATCATCGACTGGACGTCCACTCAGACATCCAATCTGAAAATCAGCAACTACAAAGATGACAGGTGGATAAATCCACAAAGATGGGAAGAAACCAGCGCAAAAAGGATGAAAACACCCGAAACCAGAATGCCTCTCCTCCTACAAGAGATCACAACTTCTCACCAGCAAGGAAACAAAGCTGGTTGGAGAATGAGTGTGATGAAATGACAGAATCAGACTTCAGAAGGAGGGTAATGAGAAACTTCTGTGAGTTAAAAGAACATGTTCTAACCCAATGCAAAGAAATAAGAACCTTGAAAAAAGATTTGATGAAATGCTAACGAGAGTGGACAACTTAGGAATATAAGTGAATTGAAGGAGCTGAAAAACACAACACGAGAGCTTCGTGAAGCATGCACAAGTTCATCAGCTGAATTGACCAAGAAGAAGAAAGGATATCAGAGGTCGAGGATCAACTCAATAAAATAAAATGAGAAGGCAAGATTAGAGAAAACAGCATAAAAATGAATGAACAAAGTTTCCAAGAAATATGGGCATATGTGAAAAGACCTAATCTACATTTGATAGTTGTACCTGAATGTGACAGAGAGAATGAATCCAAGCTGGAAAATACTCTTCAGGATATTATCCAGGAAAACTTTCCTAACCTAGCAAGGCAGGCCAATATTCATGTCCAGGAAATACAGAGAACACCACAAAGATATTCCTCAAGAAGAGCAACCCCAAGACACATAATCCTCAGATTCACCAGGGTTGAAATGAAGGAGAAAATGCTAAGGGCAGCCAGAGAGAAAGGCCAGATTACACACAAAGGGAAGCCCATCAGACTCACAGAAGATCTCTCAGCAGAAAGCCTACAAGCCAGAAGAGAGTGGGGGCCAATATTCAACATCCTTGACGAAAAGAACTTTCAACCCAGAATTTCATATCCAGCCAAACTAAACTTCATAAGTGAAGGAAAAATAAAATCCTTTACAAACAAGTAAGTACTCAGAGATTTCATCACCACCAGGCCTGCTTTACAAGAACTCCTGAAAGAGGCACTAAACACTGAAAGGAACAACCAGTACCAGCCACTCCAAAAACATACCAAATGGTAAAGAGGATCAATACAATGAAGAATCTGCATCAACTAATGGGCAAAACAGCCAGCTAGCATCAAAATGGCAGGATCAAATTCACACATAACAATATTAACCCCAAATGTAAATGGGCTACATGCCCCAATCAAAAGACACAGACTGGCAAATTGGATAAAAAGCCAAAACCCATCGGTGTGCTGTATCCAGGAAACCCATCTCACATGCAAGGATACATAAAGGCTCAAAATAAAGGGATGGAGGAAGATTTACCAAGCAAGTGGAGAGCAAAAAAAAAAAAGCAGGAGTTGCAATTCTCATCTCTGATAAGATAGACTTTAAAGCAACAAATATCAAAAGAGACAAGGACATTACATAATGTCCATTACATAATGCAACAAGAAGAGCTAACGATCCTAAAAATATAGGCACCCAATACAGGAGCACCCAGATACTTAAGGCAAGTTCTTAATGACTTACAAAGAGACTTAGATGCCCACACAATAACAGTGGGTAACTTTAGTACCCCATTGTTAATATTAGATCAACCAGACAGAAAATTAACAAGGATATCCACGACTTGAACTCAGACCAGAACAAGCAAACCTAATACACATTTACAGAACGCTCCATCCCAAATCCACAGAATATACATTGTTCTCAGCACCACATCACACCTACTCTAAAATTGACCACATAATTGTAAATTAATCACTCCTCAGCAAATGCAAAAGAACAGAAATCATAACAGTCTCTCAAACCACAGTGTAATCAAGTTAGAACTCAGAATTCAGAAACTAACTCAGAACCGCACAGCTTCATGGAAACTGAACAACTGGCTATTGAATGTTGACTGGATAAACAATGAAATGAAGGCAGAAATAAAGATGTTCTTTGAAACCAACAAGAACAACGACAAAATATACCAGAATCTCTGGGACACAGTTAAAGCAGTCTTTAGAGGAAAATATATAGCAATACGTGCCCTCATGAGAAGCAAGGAGAGATCCAAAATTGACACCCTATCATCAAAATTGAAAGAGCTAGAGGAGCAAAATAAAGAAAAAAAAGCTCAAAACCTAGCAGAAGACAAGACATAACTAAGATCAGAGCAGAACTGAAGGAAATAGAGACACAAAAATCCCTTCAAAAAATCAATAAGTTCAGGAGCTGGTTTTTCGAATAGATCAACAAAATAGACCCTAGCCAGATTAATAAGAAAGAAAAGAGAGAATAACCAAATAAATGCAATAAAAAAACGATAGAGGGGATATCACCACAGATTCCACAGAAATTCAAACCATCATCAGAGATTATTACAAACAACTCTTTGCACATAAACTAGTAAACCTGGAAGAAATGGATAAATTCTTGGACACTTGCCTCCTCCCAAGCCTAAACCAGGAAGAAGCCAAAACGCTGAACAGACCAATAACAAGATCTGAAGTTGAGGCAGCAATTAAGAGCCTACTACATAAAAAAAATCCCAGGTCCAAATGGGTTCATAGCCGAATTCTACCACACACACAAAGAGGAGCTGGTACCTTTCCTTCTGAAACTATTCCAAATAATCCAAAAAGAGGGAATACTTCCCAAATCATTTTATGAGAACAGCATCATCCTCATATCAAAACCCAGCAGAGACTCAACAAGAAAAGAAAACTTCAAGACAATAACCATGATGAACATAGATGAAAAATCTTCAATAAAATACTGGAAAACTGATGGCAACAGCACATCATAAAGCTTATCCATCATGATCAAGTAGGATTCATCCCGGGGATACAAGGCTGGTTCAACATACACAAGTCTATAAACGTAATTCACCACATAAACAGAACCAAAGACAAAAACCACATGATTATCTTAATTGATGCAGAGAAGGCCTTTGACAAAATTCAACAGCCCTTTATGCTAAAAACCCTCAAAAAACTAGGTATTGATGGGACATATCTCAAAATAATAAAAGCTGTTTATGACAAACCAACAGCCAATATCACACTGAATGGGCAAAAATTGGAAGCATTCCCTTTGAAATCTGGCACTAGATAAGGATGCCCTCTCTCACCACTCCTAGTCAGTATAGTACTGAAAGTTCTAGCCAGATCAATCAGGCAAGAAAAAGAAATAAAGGGTATTCAAATAGGAAAGGAGGAAGCCAAACTGTCTCCATTTGCAGACAATATAATTGTATACCTAGATCTCATTGTCTCAGCCCAAAATCTCCTGAAAGTGATAAGCAACTTGAGCAAGGTCTCAGGATACAAAATCAATGTGCAAGAATCACAAGCATTTCTGTACACCAAAAACAGACTTAGAGCCAAATCAAGAAGGAACTACTATTCACAATTGCTACAAAGAGAATAAAACACCCAGGAATACAACTAACAAGGAATGTAAAGGACCTCTTCAAGGAGAACTACAAACCACTGCTCAATGAAATAAGAGAGGACACAAACAGATGGAGAAACATTCCATGTTCATGGTTAGGGAGAATCAATACCGTGAAAATGGCCATACTGCCCAAAGTAATTTATAGATTCAATTTTATATCTCCATCAAGCTACCAATGACCTTCTTCACAGAACTGGAAAAAAACCCACCATGAACTTCATATGGAACCAAAAGAGAGCCCACATAGTTAAGTCAATTCTAAGCAAAAAGAACACAGCAGGGGGCATCATATTACCAGACTTCAAACTATACTACAAGGCTACAGTAATCAAAACAGCATGATACTGGTACCAAAACAGAGATATAGACCAATGGAACAGAACAGAGGCTTTGGAGGCAACACAACATATCTACAAACATCTAATATTTGACAAACCTGACAAAAACAAGCAATGGGGAAAGGAGTCCCTGTTTGTTTAATAAATGGTGTTGGGAAAACTGGCCATGTGCATAAAGCAGAAACTGGACCCCTTCCTGACACCTTACACTAAAATTAACTCCAGATGGATTAAAGACTTAAACAGAAGACCTAACACCATAAAAACCCTAGAAGAAAACCTAGGCAAAACCATTCAGGACATAGGAGTAAGCAAGGACTTCATGAACAAAACACCAAAAGCATTGGCAACAAAAGCCAAAACAGATAAATGGGACCTAATCAAACTCCACAGCTTCTGCATGGCAAAAGAAACAGTCATTAGAGTGAATCGGCAACCAACAGAATGGGAAAAATTTTTGCAGTTTACTTATCTGACAGAGGGCTGATATCCAGAATTTACAAAGAACTAAAACAGATTTACAAGAAAAAAACAAGCCCATTCAAAAGTGGGCAAAGAATATGAACAGACACTTTACAAAAGAAGACATACATGAGGCCAATAAACATATGAAAAAATGCTCATCATCACTGGTCATTAAAGAAATGCAAATCAAAACTACATTGAGGTACCATCTCATGCCAGTTAGAATGGCAATCATTAAAAAATCTGGAGACAATAGATACTGGAGAGGATATGGAGAAATAGGAACACTTTTACACTGCTGGTGGGAGTGTAAATCAGTTCAACCATTGTGAAAGACAGTGTGGCAATTCCTCAAGGACCAAGAAATAGGAATTCCATTTGACCCAGCAATTCCATTACTGGGTATATATCCAGAGGATTATAAATCATTCTACTATAAGGACACATGCACACGAATGTTCATTGCAGCAGTGTTTGCAATAGCAAAGACCTGGAACCAACCCAAATGTCCATCAATGATAGACTGGATAGGGGAACTGTGGCACATATACACTATGGAATATTATGCAGCCATCAAAAACGATGAGTTCATGTCCTTTGTAGGGACATGGATGAACCTGGAGACCATCATTCTCAGCAAACGTACACAAGAACAGAAAATGAAATACCGCATGTTTTCACTCATAGGCAGGTGTTGAACAATGAGAACACATAGACACAGGGAGGGGAGCACTACACACTAGGGTTTGTTGGGGGGAATAGGGGAGGGACAGTGGGGGGTGGGGAGTTAGGGAGCGATAGCATGGGGAGAAATGCCAGATATAGGTGAAGGGGAGGAAGTCAACATATCACACTGCCACGTGTGTACCTATGCAACTATCTTCATGTTCTTCATATGTACCCCAAAACCTAAAATGCAAAAAAAAAAAGGTGCCGGGATCTGTGTGATTTCCTGTGCGGCAACCCACTGCCGGGGGCTGATACAGTGGCACTGAGATTCGTAGTGCTTTTTTGCCCAGGAATCTCCTGGCTTGGTTCACTGTTTCAGTCCCCTTTTTAATCAGATGAATGGGAATTCTGCCTTCCTGGAGCTCCAATCGCCAGCTAAAATGGCCCCACACCCATGTATTTTGTAGGTCAAACTGCTGCACCAGGGTGCCGGAAAAACAGCCTCGCCTGCCAAAACAGCCATGCCAGTGACCCGTGGGGCTTCTCTGCCTGGGAATCTCCTGGTCTGTGGGCAATAAAAATCCATCTGGAAATGTGGCATCCACTCACCCTCTGTGTTTTCACTTGGCACAGCAATCTTGAGCTGCTCCTAATCTGCCATCTTGGCTCTCATTCCTGCTAGTGATTTTTGCACATTGATTTTGTATCCTGAGACTTTCCCAAAGTTGTTTATCAGTTTGAGAAGATTTTGGGCTGAGGATGGGGTCTTGTACATATACAATTATGTCATCTGCAAATAAAGACAATTTGACTTTCTCCTTTCCTAATCGAATGCCCTTTATTTATTTTTTTCCTTGCCTGAATGCTCTGGCTAGAACTTCCAATACTATGTTGAATAGGAGTGGTGAGAGAGGGCATCCTCGTCTACTGCCTGATTTCAAAGGAAATTCTTCTAGCTTTTTCCCATTCAGTATGATATTGGCTATAGGTTTGTTATATATAGCTTTTATCAAAATTAACTCCAGATGGATCAAAGATTTAAACATAAAACATAGCATCATAAAAATACTAGAAGAAAGCATAGGCAATATTGAGGACATAGGCATAGGCAAGGACTTCATGACTAAAACAACCAAAAGCAATGGCAGTAAAAGCCGGGATAGACAAGTGGGATCTAATTAAACTCCAGAGCTTCTGCACAGCAAAAGAAACCATCATTAGAGTGAATCAATAACCAACAGAATGGGAAAAAAGTTTTTCCAATTTACCCATCTGACAAAGGACTAATATCCAGAATCTACAAAGAACTAAAACATATATACAAGAAAAAAACAACCTTATTCAAAAGTGGGCAGAGGATATGAACACTTTTCAAAAGAGGACATATATGAAGCCAACAAACATATGAAAAAATGCTCATCATCACTGGTCATTAGAGAAATGCAAATCAAAACTACACTGAGATATCATCTCACACCAGTTAGAACGGTGATCATTAAAAAATCTGGAGACAACAGATGCTGGAGACGATGTGGAGAAATAGGAACACTTTTACACAGTTTGTGGGCATGTATTAGTTCATCCATTGTGAAAGACAGTGTGATGATTTCTCAAGGATCTAGAATATTTGACCCAGCAATCCCACTATTGGATATATACCCAAAGAACTATAAATTATTCTACTATAAAGACACATGCACACGTATGTTCATTGCAGCTCTGTGTACAATAGCAAAGACCTGGAACCAACCCAAATGCCCATCAATGATAGACTGGACAAAGAAAATGTGGTACATATACCCCATGCAATACTACGCAGCCATAAAAAACAATGAGTTCGTGTCCTTTGTAGGGACTTGGATGAATCTGGAAACCATCATTCTCAGCAGATTGACCCAAGAACAGAAAGCCAAACACTGCATGTTCTCAGTCATAGGTGGGTGTTGAACAATGAGAACACCTGGACTCAGGGAGAGGAGCATCACACACAGGGGACAGTTGGGGGTGGTAGGGGAGAGACAATGGGGGTGGGGAGGGAGAAGAAGGTGGAGAGGGATAACATGGGGAGACATGCCAGATATAGTATGCAGCTAAAGTAAAAGAAATAATTGTTTAAATTATTTTAAAAATATATCCATTCAGATCTGGGTGGAAAATGCCTTAGGCTTTGCTCCCATGGTTTGCAGCTACACACTAGGACACCACTGATATTCCCTCATGGGCTGTGAATCAGAACATTCTCTGTCTCCTGCATAGATTCCTACAGATGCCAAAACGCACAACTAAAGCAAGGGTTCCCTGATATAATAACTTATATTAGTAAACATGTGGCACTGAACCAGAAGTGTGAAGGCTCTCTGCCACAACTAGCCTTATACCTTTCAGAAAGTCATTAGTTTCTATGGGCTCTGTTTACTCATCAATTAAATATAATAGAAAGTGCTATTGTGAGGATTAAATAAGAGCAGGATAGAGAGAGTCTGCCAACTACATAGTACTGTGCCAATGTCAATACCTTTTACTTTCCGAATCATTACTGCAGGATTAGCTTTCTTCCTGGACAAAACATGTAGATGCTTCTGTAGGATTATTTCCAGAGATCACGAAGACCTATCTGTCTTCCAGACTTTCTCTAAACTGGTCTGTGGTAAAGTAGTAAAATCCTATGCTGCAGAAAATTTCAACAATTCTTTGGGAAATGAAAATGCAAAAGACATTTAGGGATCAACTAGTAATTCACCATCATCTATTAACTCCTTGTCTCCTCATAGCTTGCAGTGATCTGACAAGTCTTTGAGGAAATGAGCCACAGTTTAGGTAGGTTTACATTTATTCATTTCCTCTTTAATTCAATAGGTGTGTGTGTGAGAGAGATATATAGCATGTTACTGAAATGAGAATTACAAAAGCAGGATAAGAAAAATGGATCAGGACTGCAGCAGGGAGTGGGTGATGCAATTTTAATTGGGTAGTCAGACTATGCCTCATTGACAAGCTAATATTTAAGCAAAGACCTCAAGGAGTTGATTACACAGCCTTCTGGGGAACGATGTTGCAGAAAGACGAAAACGCTCTTTGCAAACTCTAGAGCAGGAGTACAGCCATGACCAAATGAAATTGAAACAAAAAAAAAATACCAAATATAAATGAAACAAAAAGCTGGTTCTTTGAAAAGATAGGATTAATAGACCATTAGCAAGATTAACCAAGGAAAGAAGAAAATCCAAATAAACTCAATAGGAAATGAAACAGGAGATATTACAACTGATACCACAGAAATAAAAAAGCTCATTCAAGGCTACTATGATCACCTTTATGTACAGAAACTAGAAAACCTGGAAGAGATGGGTAAACTCCTGGAAAGCTCTAACTCTCCCAGCTTAAATCAGGAACAATTAGCTACCCCGAACAGACCAATAACAAGCAGTGAGACTGAAATGGTGGCCTTGCGCAATGGCTCACTCCTATAATCATAGCATTTTGGGAGGCTGAGGCAGGCAGATCACCTGAGGTCAGGAATTTGAGACCAGCCTGGCCAACATGGAGAAACCACATTGCTACTAAAAAATACAAAAATTAGCCAGGCGTGGTGCTGTGTGCCTGTAAGCGCAGCTACTCAGGAGGCAAAGGCAGGAGAATCACTTGAACTCAGGAGGCAGGGGTTGTTGTGAGCAGAGATCATGCCACTGCATTCCAGCATGGGTGACAGAATGAGACTCCATCTCAAAAATAAAATTAAAAAAATTACAAACGAAAATGTCCAGGACCAGATAGATTCACAGCAGAATTCTACCAGACATTCAAAGAAGAATTGGTACCAATCCGGTTGACACTATTCCACATCATAGAGAAAGAGAGAACCCTCCTTAATTCATTCTATGAAGCCAGTATCAACCTAATGCCAAAACTAGGAAAGGACATAACAACAACAAGAAAAACTATGGACCAATATCACCAATGAATGTAGATCCTAAAATCCTTAACAAAATACTAGCTAACCAAATTCAACAACATATCAAAAAGATAGTCCACCGTGATCAAGTGGATTTAATACCAGGGATGGAAGGATGGTCTAACATACGCAAGTCAAGAAATGTGATACATCACATAAACAGAATTAAAAACAAAAGTCACATGATTATCTCAATAGATGCAGAAAAATTCAACAAAATCCTGCATCCTTTTGTAATTAAAACTTAGCAAAACTGGCACACAGTGGACATACCTCAATATATTAAAAGACATCTATGACAAACCAACAGCCAACATAATACTGAATGGGAAAAAATTTGAAAACATTCTTTTTGAGAACTGGAACAAGACAAGGATGCCTACTCTCACTTTGGAGACAAAGTTTCTCCATGTTGGCCAGGCTGATCTCAAACTCCTGACCTCAAATGATCCACTTGCCTCGGCCTCCCAGAGTTCTGGGATTACAGGTGTGAGACACCATGCCCAGCCCATTATAACAAAGTTAAAAACTACAAATACACCACTGGGAACTCTGATAACTTTCAGGACATCGGGAAAGCAGTGAAATGCAATTTTTAAAATGAAAAGCAATTTTTAAAATATGTGTCAAGAGCCATTAAAATGTTACAGCTTTAACTTAATAATTGCATTTAAGTAATGTACCTTATGAAATACTTCAAGAAAAGGTGGCCTCATTGGAGTTATATATAGTGAAAACCTGAAGGTGTTCACTTCAGAGTCACTTATGAGAAAAAAAGAAAATTAAAGCAATCCTAATGTAGCAAATAATGTGACAAAGTGCCAGGATCTGTACCAGGTGATGGAGATATAGTTCAGAAAAGGCAAACAAATTCCATGCCTAAATAGGACTTATAGTTTTGTGGGGAAAACACATAAATACACGTGTCAGGTTGTGATAAAATAAATGAAAAAAATTAATGAAGTAAAGTAAAATAATTGAGCTTATAAAGGATGGAGCCAGAAATTGAATTCAGGTCATTTGAGCTCATACTTTTCTCAATGTGTTACCAACCTGCCTCAAATAGACTTCCAAAGACTCAGAAAATTCACTGAGATCTGTTGCTATAAATTTCCCATAGACAAAACAAAAAGAGAATAGTTCAGGACTCTAAGGCACTTGCCCACCCAGGAGAGCAGGTGACTGTGTTAAGCCATGGGAGACAGGTATCAGTGACCAGCTTGCAGCATAGGAGTTAAAGCAGAGCCTGGGGTCTTCCTTTTAGCTTCTTCTCTGATCTCCAGGCAGATGGCTGAGACCAAGATCATGGTCCACATAAAACCTTCTTCAGGAGCCATCCTATGGCATCTCATTTTGAGAACAAAATCTGAGCTATCACCAAACTTTTGAGTGTGCAGGTTATCTGACCATAGTCAGACCAATTTTTTTAAAAAAAATTCTTTTATATTAGAAGCACCACTATGTACAAGAGGCCCAAATTCTATGTTCCTTTAGACACTTCAGCTCTGCCATTGGTATACCAGGGTCTGTGGACCTCAAAGCGCCATTAAAAATATTAACAAAGCAACTTAAACCATCAGCCAACCTATTGCCAGAGTGTGAGCAGCTGATGGAAAGGACTTGATAAGAGCAATCAGTACCTTTAATAAACTGTTCTTCCCAAAATCTGTTTGTCTCAAATCATAAAGTTAGAAAAATATGTGTTCCTTCTCCATTTCCTGCCTCTCTAGATTACAGAAATGGTATCTGTACTAAGCAGACAACTGAGATCAAACACTTCACTGTACACATATTAATTTTTTAGTGGCTAAAGAGTCATCTGTTCACATTCCTCTCTTTTGTACATAGGTTCAGAAATCAGAATGTCTAGAACACATCAGAGAAGGGTTTGAGGTAGAGAGTGAGAGTGTTGGACCCTTACAACATCACATTCCATTTACCATCCAGGGAATATACATCCTTACACTAATGTGCTCTCGGTGAGGGTAAAGACAGGTAGATACCTCATAACAATGTGTATTGGGGAAGGTTTTCTTGTAATCTAGTATTTATCATCTACAATCAACAGTAAGTAGGACAAGAATCATCTTCGTTAGACAAAACTGCCCTAGACAAAACCACCCTAGCTCACGAAAACAACCACAGCAAGAACAGGTAGGACTGGGTAAAGTAACCTGCTCTTTGACCTCAAATTAGACCAGTAGTAATCCTGATAGCAAAGTGAATAGGGAATTAGGCCAAGGAGAGTCCACACCTCTTTTAAAAGGTGCTGGGTATGTATAGAGAGTCCTCCTTGTTCAAGAAGGCTGAAATACTCTGGCATAGTGCCTATTAAAATGCATTACAAAACAAAGCAAAATAGATTTTCTTATTTAAAGCTAGTTAGGTCGTGGTTGCATAACATTGTGGATGTATTAGATGCCACAGAATCGCTCACTTTAAAATGATTACTTTTACATTACATGGGTTTCACCTCAATTAAAAAGAGAGAAAGAGAACTTGCTTCTAAACCGTTACACAAAAAAGCTACATCTGGAAGCAATTTACTTGTACTTTAAGAAAATGACTTGTCCCCACAGAGTCTATGACAGGATTTATGAAACAAAAATCAAAATATATATAAAGATCGGTCCTAAAAAAAGATTTTTAAAAAGACGAATGTGAACATAGAAAAAAACAAGTATAATATAAAATAAATAAGATGGGGCCAGGTGCAGTGCCTTACTTGGGGAGGCCGAGACAGGCAGATCTCTTGAGGCCAGGAGTTTGAGGCTTGGTCAACATGTTGAAACCCCATCTTCACCAAAAATGAAAAAAAAAAAAAAAAATGAGCCAGACATGGAGGTGAGCACCTGTAATCACAGCCAGCCATGAGGTTGAGGCTCAAGAAGCGCCTAAACCTAGGAGATGGAGGCTACAGTGAGCTGAGATCACCACACTGTACTCCAGCCTGGGGGACAGTGAGACTCTGACTCAAAAAATAAGTATAAATAAATAAATAAACAAACACAAGACAGTAACACCAAATCTAAA